GAAGTGTCTGTATTGCATACCGGCGTACTCCTGATACCAGTTTTGTTGGGTCAAGTGGTGTATCCAGCACTCACTTGTTTGTTCTCACAAACCATCACAACCATCTTCATTTGCTTCGCGTTCTAACAATAAACGATTTACTCCCGCAAATGTGATTTGTGGAAAATGGGCTTGTCTTTCTCAAACGCTGATCCTTCATGGAGAACCGGTCTATTCATACAGAGAAAATGACAACACTTTGGACACCCGAAGCGGCAAGATATATATCGCTGGTCCGTTTCTATCAGTAAAACGCTTTGGGTCCGCAAGATAACTCCCAAGATGCGATCAGACAAACAACGGGGAACTCATCGTGGTAGACTCAAATGTCAAACATTCAACGCAGTATCATAACAGGATGACTCGGATTTTGCGTCAGATAATCGGATGTGTTATACATTACAACGTCCGAAGTTGACCACTTCACTAAATTTGCCGGTTTTTTTTCCATTGCTTGAACGTTCACAACGTAAAGCATATGGATCCATACGAGGATATGTTGGCAACCTCTGAATGGTGACCACTTTGGTCCAGTCCCTTAAGTGATCAAATTATGGTGGTCCTAATGTATCCACTTCCACTTAGTTGCTTGTTTTGCTCCTCGGATCCATATGTTAATAAGTATAATTATAAGCATGGTATATTTCTTGTGTGTGTGGAACCTGTTTCTGTGATAAAGACAGTTATGATCGTAGTCGTGCATGAGTAAGATATGCATACAGTCATGTCCGTGTAGTTAAAACATTCTGGAATACACGACTTTTGTTGTCACTGACATTTGTGTAACAGATACTCTTACGTTTCCTGTTTGTTTCTCGGCCTACCTCGTACGAAAACGCTTGGGGTTTTGCTCTGTTTATAACGTAAAAATCATCGAGTGGTGGCACAAGAATCATTCTAGTTTGCTTTGAAATGTTCTTACAATTGCGCATGAACAGATAGCTGCTGGCAGAATGTCGTCAGCCAATGCATCTAGCCAAACGTGTTCATGGTATTTTGGACCCCAGCCAGGGCGCCGTGACGCTCCAATCGAGGTCAGCTCCGAAGTGAGGGACTTCATTCCCCTCGGGCAAATCATCCCTACCCAAATCCCCTCCTCTTCCATCCACATCCGAGACGAGCAAACCACGAACCTCGACGGAGACGGTGGACTGGCATACATAACACGTGCCTGAGCCATCTGACCCTGATGAGTGAAATTACGGTGCTCAACGATTCAGTTCCGTTTTCTGTGCCATAAACCAGTCGTCCATCACGGTCGCTGCTCACGCGACGTTCCAACCAGATGTGAACCAAACTGCGAACGCACCGATGGTCGAACGTAACTAGCCTCTTCATGTCCGCTGATCTAAGGGGCCAGGTTTCGCAACCGTACAGTAAGATCGAACGTACCGCTGCATTGTACACTCTACCCTTCAGCGCGAGAGTGATATCGTGCCGCCGCCATAGGTGGCGAAGACCAGCAAACGCATCTCGAGCTTCTGCTATACGGTTCGTGATCTCATCTTCGATCCCAAGGGCGCTGTTACAACATCCCAGCTCGTTGAATTTCTGTGAATGTAATCGCATGACTTCATAATTAGCGAAGTTGGAGAGGAAAGGTGACAGCGGGCATCCTTGTCGAACTCTGCTGGAGATACTGAAGGGCAGCGACAGCTTGCCGTTATTCCTCACCCTGCCGGTAGTAAGCGAGTATAATGCTCGGATCATATTTATACGTTGCTCGGGCACACCTATTCTGAGTAGACAGTCCCAAATGGTATATCGATCAACCGATTCGAAGGCACATTTGATGTCAAGGAACACGGCAACGGTGGGCCGCAAATAGGTGCGACGGTGTTCCAACAATTGACGCAAACTGAAGTTGTGGCCATGCAGCCAGGACCCCGATGAAACCCAGCTTGCTCCTCACGAATCTGACTTTCACTAGCGCCAGACTGGCTATGAAGGATTACATAGGCGAGTAATTTGGAGTCGAAGGGGATCAGACTGATTCCTCTATGGTTGCCGCATTCCGAACGCGAGCCTCCTTTGAAGATAGGAGCAATAACGGCGTAGCTCCAGTCGATTGGGACAGTTTCCTGCTCTCAAAATATCACTAGTAGTTTGTGTAAATCATCAACAATATCAAGGTCCCTGAATTAGTAAATGGCTGGATGAAGGTCATCTGGTCTCGCGGCGTTGTTCAACCTTAACTGTCCGGTCTCATGATTGAATTCTGAGCGAGAGGGAGGATCCAAATTGACAGCCCATGGAGCAGGGCGATGTTGGCTGGTGAGGAATAGAACGATTCCGGCCGATTAAATTGCTTTTCACAATGCGCATCCCAACCCTCCAAACATTTTGACAAATTGTGGACAGGCTGTCCAGTCTACTCATACATTATTTCACAAGCGCGAGGTTCCCGGTTGCCCGCTTCCCGTACCAGACGGAGTAAATTCGACGATTTCCACGGGCAACGGCCACTTTCATTCCTGATTCACAAAGAGATCACCAGGATTTGCGGTCTCTCTTCAGACTAACACGGAGTTTTGCCCGGAGCTCTTTGCGAGTTACATTGTGTTCGCTTCCAGCTGGAATATGCCGCCGAGCATCTATAAGTTCCAGAGACCGCGAACAGATCCAATGCCCATGATGTCTATTGGACTCAATACATGAGCATCTGCCTGCTGTTAGTTAGGTCTGGTGAACATGCAACCAGTGACCATCAATTGTCTCCAGTGAGCGCTTACTCGACCCGCATGTCAGCGTATTTCGATACGCATGGAGAACAGCTAGCTTCGCCAGTTGACTGGTGTCAATGCGCTCTCAGCATAGTCGTGGGCCACCGCCAAAACACCTCCGCATGTCAGCACATACAAGTGCATGGTCGGTGTCCACACATGTGCTCCAAATCGAGCGACAGTTCTCGACGCAGCCACTCCACCGGTAACGGATTGCAACCTGATCTATTTGCGTCCAACGCTGTTTCGAGGCTGGTGGGCGCCATCTCACCCTCCGGCGAGTGCTGTGTCGGAAATTAGTGCTCGCAAGAAATAAGAGGGAATCTTCACACTCATGAAGTAACCGCTCACCGTTATCATTACCGAAGCCTACACCGCGTTGACGGCCCAGATGCATTTCATCAGTGGACAACTTTCCAACTTGTGTGTTCAGATCCCCCACCAGCACAACAGTGTCCTTGCTTCTTCTGTGGCGTAGGTGCTAGGTCAATTGGCGGTATAAGTCGTTTTTACCGAATTATCGCTAGATTTTGTGCGCGCGTAGGCAGTGATGATAGATAGACACCTAGTAGTTTCGCGCGACCTTGAAGCTTTGAACGATCCAGCCACTGGGACCGCACACATTCGGCTACTGATTGGGATTAAAATAATTAAAGTAGTTTCAGCCCGGGGGCTCATGATAATGTGAACACCAGCTTGGGCGGTGCTCGAAGTTTCATCGTCTTCGGATAGACGCAAAGAGAAAATTGCAGGTGTCATCAGAAGGGGATCGCAGTGTGAGCACAGAGCTGGAGTCTTGCAGGCGGGTCTCCGATGTGTATTACCCATTCATCCAGTGTAATTGCCATCAGGTTGCATTGGCGTAGATCGATTAGCTCTCAGTCCGTTGGCTTCAGGCTCACTCGACTGTACAAGAAGCGAGCACCATTCTCGGTGAGGTACCTTTCCACTATCACACACTGTGGATTTTGACAGGGCTTAGGGAAGCATCTTTCGGCACAGCTTGTAACTAGTTACAAGAGCAGAGCTTGTCGCTATCTGGATCTAGAAACAGGCTGTCTGTCTTTCGTGTCAACCCGATGTCGACCAAAGGAACAGCGGTGGTTGTTTATAATAGTCACCTTCGAAATAGCTGCGTTTTTCCATATTACTGACAATTATCAAGAGCTGTTTGCGGAGCCAAATTGTCTAAGGCTGAGGCTACAATCCTCAAGCACTATGTGTATGGTTCCATTTCCATCTCAAGCCATCTCTAGAAGAAAATCCCAAAGGAGGAGGAACCGCGCCATGGAGTGCTGTGTTGGGAGACAGCCACTCAGGAACTGCTTAACTTGCACAACGATTTACCGTGTGGTTCCTATAAATGATTGGTGTTGTACCGTCTATTGATTTAGTGGTGGGCGCCGCTACTTTTCCAATGGAGGTGAGTGTAGCGAACGAGGTCCTACATTGATGTGTCGATGGGCAAGTTCCAGTCGGTAGTTTGGTATGGAAATAGCCGTTGCGAATCACTCAGATTTAGTTCAACCCAAAATGGTAGTAACCCGACTCGCCCTATTAAAGGAGTTGCAATAACTGGATACATCAGCTTCTCCGGTCGCCGTGTTTCTTTTTGTGGATGACATGGAGATGTAGAGAGAAATTGACGCTTCCGACGACTGCGGCCTACTTCAGCAAAATCTCAATCGCCTATCCACATTGTCTGCAACAGTTCGTCTCCTGGTCAACGCAGCCAAGTCTATGAGCCTGGGGAAGAGTGCAGACGGCAGAACCTACACCATTGCCGGCCAACCGCTATATCCCACACCTTCCGTGAAGGACCTAGGTGTACTCTCGCACTACGATTGGAAGTCCGTGGACCACACGAACGAGCTATATCGTAACGGACTGCGAATGCTTTGGGCGCTCAAACAGCATCGGCACATGGGCTGAAGAGGTTGCCACTCGCCACTTCTCTTCCATCATTAGACCAATGCTAGAGCACGGTTCGCCCGCCTACTTTCCAGTTACGCGTGACGAAACACAAAAGATCGAACGGGGCCAACACGTTACTACCAGATTTATCCGAGTTTACTTGGCTTGGGGCATGAAGATCGGTGCGAAAAACTACTTATTGTCCTACCGTCGGGTGCGAGTCAACCTCATTATGAACTACCGTATTCTACTGTACTCACGCAATCACACGGATGTGAACCAATCGCGTATCAAAACACAACGATTGGTCGGTTCACTGATTGGTCGACTTGTTGGTGGACTATTTAGGACCACTGCGCTCCGCTACTTGTGTAGTCGTACACTTTCTGCACTTCTGATGCATCATCTGCTGCCTGGTCAACCTGCTCCCCACTTCGCAGGAAAGGCCTTAGTCAATGGGGAGATCAAGGAAATATCACTGTGCGATTTCAAAGGGAAATATGTTGTGCTCGTATTCTATCCCCTCAACTTGTAAGTCTTCGTCTATATTTGTCTCACGAAAACATGCGTGCGCGAAGTACTGTATTGTCCTCGCAATTTCTTGTATCATTTTGCTACTAAGAGCCGAACATTCTTTTACCATTCACGAATATTCGAGTTAGTTTACGCACGTTACTGATTACCTGCCTCACTGTACGGCAGGTATCAAATCCGTATTACTCGGAGGTTTTATGTGGTTGCTGCGCTTCGTATAACGAGTGGTAGAACTGTAGAAACGATTTGGTTGGGCATTGAATTCAGCCTATTCATATGAGCTTAGGAAGTGACACCATGGTACTTTGCCTTTTGCGGGATGTGACGTCCTCACTGTTAACTTAACGACAGGCTTCCCATTTTACTTCTGTTGCGGTTTCCGCATTTGCTAATTCACCGTGTTTTCTCAGCCTCTAGCTAATTTACGTCTGTCAGAGTTCGTCCATTTCTTACATCTAGAGTTCTAATGAAGCATTGGCGTTGACGAAACTTGGGTGGTAGCCGTTGTAGCCATTATACCATCTGATTTACATATACTGAACCACCACTTGTTTTCTTCAAACCATTTCTCAGTTCCTTGGTATGCCCAACGGAAGTGAGAGCATTCAATGATGAAATGGACAAATTCAGCTCAAGGGACGCCGTCGTGATAACATGTTCGGTGGACTCCGTTTATGCTCACGAGCGATGGACTAAAATGGATCGAAAAGAGGGTGGACTGGGTCACATGAAGATTCCTATGTTGTCCGACATAACTCACGCTATTTCTCGGGCTTACGGTGTACTGGATGAGAAGCAAGGATTTGCCTACCGGTGAGTTCTGTTTTGTTTCATCCCACTGGCTATTACACTCATCGTTTTATGTATCTTATGCTCACCGCTGCTGTCTTCCGTTGCAGCGGGACGTTTCTGATCGATCCGGATGGTATTATCCGACAGATCACTATTAACGACATTCCGATTGGGCGTTCTGTGGAAGAATGCATGCGCCTGTTGGATGCGGTCATTTACCACAAGAAACATGGCAATATCTGCCCGGCCAACTGGAAATCCGACAATAACAAGTGAAGCAACACGTCGTGGGCTCACAGCAATATTTTTTCTTTTCTACTTAACGCGATCTTCATGAGAGACATGCAGTGATTTCTTGAATTCTGAGGCAAATATACCGACTTTACTCTACACTCGTCTTACTTGACTTGTTTAGCGCACGGAACCATTTGGTCGGACTAAGTAACCAACACAAACAGTCAGCAGTCTGTCCTACTAGCGGTCTTTGGATGCGACTTTATTAGAATGGTCAGGCCCCATTAGTTAGGTTCCGCCAGCTGCCGGGTGTAGATTCGCTGAGATGCAAAATCGTTCTGTCGTTCGGCGCCAACATCCGGCAGGTTACCTTTCATCAGGCCCCGTAGTGTTGCAGTGTTTTATGGAGCTGAGCCTATTCGGCGTTTTTAATAGCTGGCTAGCCGAACAACCTCCTCGTGGTGTCAGCTGGGTGGTTCGGGTTTAACCCCCTCCAGCAAATAGTTCGGCGGCAGTGTTCCAGGACGTGGTGGGTTTCGCCTGGCAAGCGTTCTCCCTATAAAAAGCCACAAAAGTCTGCTTAACAACACTGTGACGTGGTGGTCGTGACTCGCCACAAAATAAAGTCACTGCCCCGTGGATATCCGGATAATTCCATCCAACCCACGGACACCAATCTCCTACTCGCATATTGCTGACGATATCAAACATTGAAGATTGGAGCAGCACAACTACAAGCACAAAATTCGCAGCTACATACACATACACGCCCCCTACACAAACACAAACTGCTATGGCAAACACATCGGATTTTTGCACATTCTTGATCATGCATCGTTATGTCAAAATGATCATGCCTGTAAAGGCGTGCCTCACATTGTTGAGAATAAAAGATTTATTTATTTATTTATTCCTCGACGTTGATCAGTAAAAGCTAGCTTATGCTTAACTGCCTTATGTTCGGTTCTATGAACTCAAGCATGTTAACGCAAGTCCAAGTTTGCCCCCTAATGTGTGCCTTCACAGATCGCACACACGACTTCTTGTCTGTCTTTGGTTTGGGATAGTGAAAGCACTCCTGTCAAATGCCAGTACTGTGCTTTGGGTACTTGGTCTAGTTGTACGTGACCCCTTCCCTGACACCCTATCGCTCGCTAGGTAGGTTGTTCTGTCTAAATGGTAGCCTGCTTCGCCGCCCATCTAGTGGTCAGGGATCGTAGTACCAGTTGAGCAGCAGGCTATGCCTGATGTATTCCATAGCCGAGCTAGTTAGGTTCGTGTTCCGTCCCTAGAATGTATCTTCTCACACTGGCAAAATTATCCCAACACACATCCCTGTTTATACAGCCGCTATTTCCTAAAGAGCCTGCAACGCATTTTATGGTGTCCCAGTTGTTTGACTCCCGAGGACATATTACGCTAGATCATACACGGTCCTTGCTTTAGATTGTCCTAAAACAGGTCACAGTACTCATAGTGGAACCAGGATGTTCCTCCGAGTTTCTATGCTTCTTTTGGCTACACACCAACTGCCTCCTGGATTTGGAACTGTAGGCCGTCTCTTTCTGCATTCATACCATTAATAGACGTCAATGTTGAGTGCTATCTACCAGTTAACTTCAGGATTGTGTAACAATTACGTAATACGCCTACAGTGCAGAGGAAGGTTGCTTACGCGTGTGCTCAGCAGACTGCCATTCCTAATAGCGCTAAACATTGGCGCAAGCGCGGATGAACGTATAAGGACACGGTATTCCATGAGGTACGCGTCTTTGTGCACTAGTATTGTGTGCCGAAGTGAAAATCTATCAGATTAGTTAGGGTCATGAAACCAACGATCGAGATGGTTTCCGGTGCTCATAAGCCTGACATAATTGTCCAGTCTCTTTGGCAAACTGTGACGGGCGATACAAGCAGATGACAGACTTTTAGGGGTTGACCTTGACCGGTTGGCAGATTACCGATAAACATGGTGTTTACATGCATGTATGCACGCGCGGTGTGATTGCAATTCCAGCGATGCAATCATGCGATTTGAGTGAATGACAGTGATAAATTTTATAATTAGTTTGATCATCAGTATCCCATTTTGTTCAAGTGGGAAATCCTAACGGCGAAAGTGCTGATTCGATTCGAATTGGTAGAAAGTCCTGTCGAGATATGAGCTACACAAGCAGACGAATACTCTGCTAGCCGCTCTCAACAACGTATTCCAGGCTCGGTCTGCTGCTTAACTATGCTTACTCCGCTGTGGTAGCAAGTCTGTTACTCGAATCTTGGACTTGGGGATGTTATCCGATGCGTATGCTGCCAAATCAAGGAGTGGCGGGAGAATTTCGTCACCACGGTTGATGAATCGCACAAGTAGATGCTCCTCACATCTAGACTCAGTTAGATGACCATCATACGGTTGGAACAGCACTGTTCATCCATTCGGGTGTTATCAGCAGTTAGCAATTTATCTGACGCTTGGGGCGGCTGTATCCCCCAACCCGACTGTTTCCCACTATTGGTTAAGACCACTTGGCTACTTGGGACGGTAGCGGATAATTGCAAGCGATCCCTAGGTGACTGGACTGCAATACGGCGTCCCAGTGTGGCAATTCCGCTTTGCTTACGTGTGTGGTAGCAGGGATATAACAACCAGTTGGTGGTCAGTGTTAAGTGAAGCACGTGGTTCTGCTCTTGTCTTAAAACATGATGGCATTACGCATCGTAATGACGGATCACTACATATTTGTCTCCTTAGGTGATGCGATCAGACAAGAGGAGTTTAGCCGCGAGCATTGAAATGTGAGTACCCGATGGTCAGACATGCTGTCCTATGGAACAGTTTACCAGCAGCTATCACTTCACCCACAATTTTAAGTATATTTCGCGGTGAGCTAGAAATATTCTTGTACCACAACTCAATAATGCCCACGTTATAAAGCGAAAGAAGCACCAGGGAATTTCTTCCCAAGTGAACCAAGATTTGAACAGTGAATGTAGAAAACATGTGTTATACAAATGTCAGCGACTACAAAATACGTGTATTCCAGAATGTTTTAACAACACCGACATTACTGAATACATATCTTACTCATGAACGATTACGAACATAACTGTCTTTATCACAGAAGGTTCCACACACATAAGAAATATACCATACCTTAAGTATACTTATAATTATTAACATATGGATCCGAGGAAGTAAGCAAGCAACTGTGTGGAAGTGTGATCAGTGAGATCACCGTAATTTGACTACTCAAGGGACTGGACCAAAGTGGTCACCATTCAGAGGTTGCCAACATATCATCGTATGCATCTATAAAGTTTAGCTGGTGAACGTTCAAGCAATGGAAAAGAAACCGGCCAATTTAGTGAAGTGGTCAACTTCGGACGTTGTAATGTATAACACATCCGATTATCTGACGCAAATTGCGTAGTCATCCTGTTATGATACTGCGTTGAATGTTTGACATTTGGATCTACCACGATGAGTTCCCCGGTGTTTATCTGATTAAATCATGAGAGTAATCTCGCGGACCCAAAGCGTTTTACTGATAGAAACGGACCAGCGATATATATCTTGCCGCTTCGGGTGTCCAAAATGTTGTCATTTTCTCTGTATGAATAGACCGGTTCTCCATGAAGGATCAGCGTTTGAGAAAAACAAGCCATTTTCCACAAATCACATTTGCGAGAGTGAATCGTGTATTGTTAGAACGTGAAGCAAATGAAACTGCTTGTGATATTTTGTGAAAACAAACAAGTGAATGCAAGAAACGCCACTTGACCCAACAAATGCGGCATCACGAATACGCCGGTATGCAGTACAGACACTTCGCTGTCGCGCAACAACCACCGGTTGCATGTGGCCTCAGGATACTCCGAGCCCTGCCCGGTCCCTACGCTGTCTCATACCCGTGCCGTTGGATTAAGAGGCAGACTTGTTATACTTAAGGCTATGGGCCTTAATGATTAGCGGGTTTTGTCCTTGTCTATTCTCTTTAGGTTGATACAAGCAACATTGGGAAATGAACTAGGGGTATCATGGTCACTAGACAACGCTTTTACTACCCTGCTGAAAAGCTGTCAGTACGGATGTAATATCGCTTCTGTGAATTTTGAATAAGCGCCGTATTTACCCCTAGCTTACAGTGAGCTAACCTGGCAATCATAAGATTGCGGATTCGAGTTAAGTTTCTGACTGTGTCAGCTTGAAGTGTCCGGGCTAGGGCAAACTCGATTTACTTATACCATGAGATGAATATCGGTATCCAACAAGCATCCACCTCAACCACGGTCCCAGTGATCAAATGAACCGAGGTTCACTCCGAAGCAAATGGCGGCGTAAAATGTGATTGGTTATTGGGACCTTCGCACTCCGATAATCCCACAGTGTGTTACCTCAGCCATGTTGGAAGTATTCCGTCTTGTCCGGAGTGCAGCATGTAACCCTTGTTTTGCTTTAGTAGCACGTAATCTTCAACTAGGTGGACCCAACTGGTCACCAGTTGAGGTAGTGCACGCAGTTATGATGGCCTTCCAAGTACCGAAAACCAAGTCTGGGCCTCGATCAAAATATATTGCTCAAGGAACAAGAATATCATCTTTTATGCTGCATGAATTAGAGACACTCAGGAATGCGGCGCGTTTCTTTTTATTATTACTAGCTTCGCCGGAGTTCGCGTTATTTTCACGTCAGTGCAAACCCGTTATATATAATCCATTATTCTTCGTCCTTTCACACGTTATCTAGATGTGTAAAACAACACAATTACAGTGCCGCAATACCTAGTAAAGAAAACAAATGCACCAGTTGCATGTCGGCTGAGCTAGCAGCATGCATGGGCATCGTTCTCGAACACTACCAGTTGGCTACTAGGCAACCAAAAATTATTATGTAAGATTATATTACGTTAGGAACTGAGATGGTGTTTAAAAGGGGAAACTAAAATGGAATGTGAGGGACAAAGGAACGCATAACAGGAACGCCACAGATGTCGGCTCCTAGCCATATCAGGAAGTGTATCTGGCCAAACGTGTTCATGATCTAGAGGACCCTAACCAGGGAGCCCTGACGCTCCAACCGAGGTCAGCTCCGAAGTGAAGGCCTTCATCCCTCTCGAGCAAGTCATCGCTTTGCCAAATCCCCTCCTCTTCCATCCAC